GATTTAAACGGTGACAAAGAAAAAGAAATCTTAAAATCGTTGGTAATCCAAAAAAAAGTATAAAGAAAAAAAACCGAATCATATTTAGGTTATTTCAAAATCTGTCAAATTATAACAAAATAAATGTAATGTAAAGGTCTGTTTTTAGATCCGAAGAAGAAAAAAAAACCCAAACAGACACAAAATCTCTAAATAAACACCTGATGAAATAAAGACGGATTCCCCATCTAAATGCAAGGTTTCAACCTTGCCAGTAATAAAGTACACTGTGCGTTTTATAACTGAACACTTACTTGCATGAAATATCGGTTTTTAAAATAATGGTGAATGACAAGGACGTATGCTGCTTGCGTAAACTCAGAGTATTTTGTCAACGTATTAATTTATAGGCCTTAATCTGCAGCATATTTAGTTATTTTGCGCATACTATTGGCATTCATTTTGGTTGAAATCATAAACTTAATTACTACAGTCAATGAATATAGGAAGAGCCACCAACAAAGGGCTGGATAGCTCAGTTGGTAGAGCATCGGCACAGTGTTCTGGAGGTCGCAGGTTCAAATCCCGCTCCAATTAAATTCTTTGTTCATGTTTCTAATCGTTGGTAAGTACCTACTTAGTTTTGCTGTATAGTTTGTTTCATGATTTATGTTCAAAAAGCCGCATCTTCTCTTTTCACTACTTTCCATGTTGTATCGTGTAATTGGGGCGTGATCCCTGGCTATATGGTGCTTCAGGTTAAATGGCTTCTGGCTAGCACCTCCGAACGGAGGTATTGGCAAACGGGAAGAGCCTTTCACATAGCTGGATAGCTCGGTTAGTAGAGCACGGGTACGGCGTTTCAGATGTCGCAGGCTCAAGTTCTGTTCCAGTCAATTTCTTTGTTTATCTGTACAACTTTATTCAATTTAGATTAGGGTTAGAATGTACTTCATTTGTGCATCGGGCAAACAAAAACTGCCAGAATGGCAGGTAATGCCCGATGAGAATCGTCTTAGTGCAAGAATTTGCAAGAAAGGGCACAACACTTGCAAAGGAAAGTACATGTTTATAAGGAGAACTAACGCTGAATAAAATCGAAGAAAACTTACCTGCTCTTTGTTGACCAATCAGGCGAATCGTGAAAGACGCATTCTTTTTTAGCCCTATTGCCGTACAAGTGAAATTCAAATGCTGTCCTTTCTGAATAGACGACACGACAAGCGCACTGCTTGTGTTGTACAAGTTCGCCCCAATAACACTTGTCGTCTCACTGGTGTCCTTTCCATCAAAGCTCCAGATGATCTGTGCAGGTGGTTTGGTATCAGTGGCAAGGCAGGTAAAGTTGTGAGTGGTGCCTGTCGGGATGAACACATCGCCTCTCAGAAAGTCCTTCGATGAACTGTTCAAGATGTATACAGCGTCGGGGTCAACTGTAGAGAATAACAATGATGCTGGCATAAATATTAATTTCAAAGTTCATATCTGTACAAAATACTAGGCAATGTGTTTATAACTTTCGATCTTACTGTAGATTCCAGTGAACACTTCAAAACTAATGGAATGTTCAACGGACTTTATCGTTAGTGTGTTGCATTTGCTTACCATTGACGGTCAAAAAGATATGGCTGGACTGTGTGATGTAGGACTCGCTGACCTGACAGGAGTAATTTCCCTCATCGGCAAAATCAAGATGCCGTATGGTGAGATTGCAGCTCTTCCAGTCATGATGAAACTCATACTTTTGGGAATCCTCAGCTCCGGAAGTCTTGCAAGAATCGTATGAAATTCCGTCATGGAGCCACTTAAATTTGAGTCTTGGAAAGGCTTTTGGAACACTGTTTACTAAACACTTCAGGGTAGTGTCACCCCATCTGACCCCAACATCCTCCGATAATCCTGTCTCGATGACCAAAATCCCTATAAAAAGAAATGATACTGATTCACACGATCACCGTGATCGCCCAAGCACAATCTTTCAGTGGAAATACAAGATAGGAGGACGGAAAGCGGTTTTACGTTTCTATCATTACCAGTTATCTCAGTCTATACAAAATCTCTAGTTACTTATTTCACGAACACTTACTCTTTCGCACGATTACTTCAACAGTGTTTTCGTCATTTCCAGATCCAAACATTTTGCAGGTGAACGTCGTCCCATTCATCGAGAGGGGGACATTTGGTATTACCAAGGCCCATGTCTGATTGTCAATAGTCCCTGACAAGTTTGTGACTTGATGGGAACACGAAGCAATTACTGAATCACCCACACTCCATTCAGCATCAGGTCCATCAGATGTGCAAACATTGCTATGTTTAGCAGCAGCTCTGCACTCAATCACGGCCTCGTCTCCCTCCAGGACTTCAAGAATCGAGAACTTTGCTTTACCAAAAAAGGAAAGGAAAAACCAGTTTTCATATCTGAACTGTTGCTGTATTACTTTAAATTTTTTACAGTCACACTTCCGTTTCTTTTAAAAATCTTCTGAAA